GGAAAGAGAGGCTTTTTCATAACAGCAGAATCTGCCAGACCACCTCTCAGAGACAAAAAGCATGTCTTGTATTCAGGTTTAAAATGGTGCTGGCTTATCTATAGATCTCCTATATACACCGAGGCATCACTACCTGGAATTTACCTTAACATCCTCCCTCTCTTACAGAATGCAGTCACCAATGTTGAAGGAGGTTTGGATACATTAATGTTAGGACAGGCATATGTGACAAAAATCATGCGAATAGAGACCATTTTATCACAGGACAAAACCACTGCCAGCGACATATCGCAGAACTCAGGTACTCAAAGCACTCCCGAAATTTTGGGAAATACATATTAACTGTGCTTTACATTAATTGCGATTCAACGGTACACATCCCATACACCTATGTTGGGGCCATATACGTGTGCAGTAATAGGCAAAGCCAGCCACCTCGAGACGGTAAACCTGTGGCTTCGAACCTTTTGGGCTGCTGCGACTTCGCTAAAAGTAAACAGTTCTGTTTGGAACTGATCGGCAAAGAGCTGCAGGAGGTTTGTGTTGGAGTTACTGCTCCGCAGTCAGCACAAAACATATAAACTCCGCTTACTGCACTGATGTGGACACGAAGTCTGCTTGGCAGGTCTGTACTAAAGCAAACCTGGTGCTGGGTGTGTTCTCTTTTTGCCCCAAAGAACTCTCCCTCCTGACAAGAGAAAGCATCAGACTTCCTATACAAACACACTTCTATCCCTTTTCATGCTCTGAATTTGTCCCATATATCTTTAGGCACTTAAAGGATGCAGACGTGGTCCCCCTGTAGTCACTGTCAAGAACTAAGCCCCTCCAGAGAGTAATTCTGCCCGTCCCAGGACCAGAACTGCCCTTGGAAATTGTCTCTTCCCTCTCTACCCCCCACCGCAGAGGGGGCCGGGGCGGTGGCGCTTTGTCTTCTCCCACAAAGGAAGGAGGACTGCAGCAGAGTGCGAGGTGCCGGCCTGCCCCAGCCACGCTCCTGAACTGCTGGCACAGCTCCTGACACAGTTCTGGCCCACCCCGGTTAGTCTCTGCTCAACAAAGCCCAGGCAGAGCTCGGGGCTAGCACAGGGCAGGGACAGTCCCCAGTGGCCAGTGGGGCCGGGGCCGTTCGGCCTTTGAAGGGAGGAGAGGGCAGAGGTACAGATGTGAACTGTGATGTGGCACTCGCCTTTGGAGCCACACAACAAACAACATTTTATTACTTAATACAGGTACGTCCTTGGTCTCTAACTTCGGCTCCTAACTACCTAAAGTCAAGTATGAAAAATGGAATTTCAAAAATTGTTACAGGTCTGTGTGCTGCTGAAAGACAGCTACATACGGCCAATGTATTTAAAATGTTTCAAAATTTCAATATCCAACAGCCAGAGACTATAACCATTTCATGGTATCGAGCAAGAAAATATCTGCAAACAGTTTCACCGTTTACCAAAATGGGCTCTGTGCAGAGCTTAACTGCAAAAACGTACGACGTTTACGATGCTTATGCATTTTAAAGGCAATAGTAAGCATTCCAATTCCTTTTTTTCTTCTTGGACGTGTTTGCATACAATACAAGAATCCAGGTAACGCCATCACTGGTAGTGAGATTTGGTCATAAGCACAGGTCAAAGAAAAAGCATCTTCTAACTGAAGCTGAACAGAGCATTTCAGCTCTAGTGGTCAAGCTGTATAACGTGAATCGCAGCTGAATTACCGTAACACCGGCTTACCTCATCGCAGAGTTTGCTAGTACTGTTTCAAGTCGCTTAGCTCAAGCAGAAGCTCTCCCTCTGGTTAAGCTGTGAACTGTTTAAATAAATACGTCCCTTGAATTTTGCCAAATGCAAAAGGCTCACAAGAGGAGTATTTTCTGCTGTTTGAGTAGCACTTGATCTATGTGGTAAGCTTGCACCATCATTTCTACTTGGATAAAACAGCTTTGTAACCAGTGCAAATTACGTACTTGTTAAATCAATGAAACAAGAACAATTTGCCTGACAGTAAGTTTTATTGCAATTCATAGGAATTTTGTTGCTGAAGTAGTCAGCAAAGTATCTGCAGCTTAAAACGAGCCAAGTTTTTCTCCGTCTGGAAAATGAGCTGGTCTACAAAAGACATTTAAATTCACGGGTAAGGAAGCCTGGCTTCACTGAAGCCCAAGCAGAACCTTTGCTGACAGGCCCAGGATGCCACCTACTCTCGCAGGAGCCCACGTCAACAACGTCTGTGCTGGGGTTCTCTGGCCCTTGGAAAGCTCCTGGTGCTCCCGGCCTCGGACACCACCGGCAGATGCCTGGCCGGCTGGTTTGCCAAGTGGTACCACCCAGGAGGGCTTAAGGCTGCACGATCTGGGGCTTGTTTGGTCTTTAGTTTGGGGGTTTTCTTGCCTTTTCTTTTGACACTGACTGTTTTTTTCCTCGCAGAACAGAAAAACCAGCACCAGCAGCAGAGTAAGAATTCAGGGTGGCAGAACTGGTGATGGGAGACCTGTAAGAAGTTTGCTGTTACTACTTTGTATTTTAAAAGAAAACTATCAACCTGGCTACTTCAAAGCCGGCAGAAAGCAGCTTTCTGGGACCACCTTCTGAATAGCACCATTTGATTACATCAGATATGCAAAAGTATCTTTCCAAGCTTTTCCACCGCGTGGCTGGGGTTTGCCCAGACGAACTGACTCTTTATTGCTCCGTCCCTGCCATCGGATCTACGTGTTCCCCGCCGCAGCATCTGCAGAGGTCCAAGCAGATGAAATATCCCCCTGGGCAAACCTGCTTGCTGCGCTGAGGTCTCACCCATTGTACAGGGAATATTGAAACAGATCATGTCAGTCATCTCCGGCAAACAAAGGAATCAAATTAGAGAACAATCAGTCTTTCTGAACTTTCACTCATTTTAAAACCTTCACTAGGCACTACACCTTTAGAAATGACTGTTAACTCGAATAATACAGTGACCTCCTTGTTAATATAACTCTTATTTAAGATATATTCTTATTGCTACCATGTTATGAAAGGACCTGCACTTACATATTTTTAACAATTTCCCAGGCATTGTTTTATTTCTGCATGACAACGAAAGAAATTCAATACTACCAACACTGCGCTGACAATTTTATCCAAGCCATGCAATCGGAAATTTGTTCTGCTTGTATTTGTACCCTAAGTGACTTCCAAAAGCCTCGCAAAAATTTGTTAGAAAGCCTAGCAAAAATGAAACCCACAAGCTATGAACGTGCTACTCCCTAACCGAGTGAAAACGCTAAGATCTACTGTCATTTTAAAGTTACTTATATTCAGTCTGACACAACGATTAAACAAGAACTGGATTCTTTTCAATTTCATTATGGGAAGAGTCAAGCTTACTTCCAGGGACCACACTTCAGAATCGGCTGGATGCAGCTGGGAACATCTAAACTTGCTGCTGAACGGGCAGGCAGCGTTCAGAGCAGGTTCTGGATCTCAAACACGGCTGCACTGATGGAGAATTCCAACCTAGGTTGAATCTCCCAGAAGAGGAAAGTAGCTTTAGAGTACTTTTGACTTCTGCATCCGGCAGGGGAACGCGGGCTGCCCTAAGGGACTGGCACAGGGGCACAGGTCCTCAGCACCCAAGGGCTTTTTCTGTCTTGAAGAACCCAGTGTCTGGGTTGATGGTCGCTGGAGGACAGGTCAAAGCCAGCTCCCACCACCCGGTCACGCTAACCGATTCCGGTTTTGTGAAATATGGCAGCAACATAAGCCTGGGCCATGCTGGCAATATTACATCTGTGCAATGCTTTTGGGATTGGCAGGCGTAAGAGAAGGAATAATTTTGACCTAAAGAAATTAAAGTATATGTGTGCAGTCTCGCAATGTAATGTACCTCATCACACGGGCTACCAACCACAGCGGAATAGGCAATTCAATGCACATAACCACAGCAACGGTCAGCACATTCAGCTTTTAACTGCTCATGAAATCAGGTATTTATGAAACGATCTTCCCTAAAACTGAGAGGGAAGAGCCAGGGCTGACCAACCTCTTCTCTTCTGATAGAGCTGCATTCCAAAGAGACGTCTGCCATGATTTTCTTCAATCTCATACACCTGGGCTATTTTTCCTCAGAGGAGACAACAAAATGAGCCTTCTGAATCCAAACCCTTCTACGAGCTACTGAATGAACGTCGCAGGCTTAAATACTGCCCTTCCCGTGTACCACAAAAACTCAGCTGCTGCACGTAGCGGTTTATGAAGATTAAGACATGGCTAAAACAAGTTGCAACACACATGTTAACTGACATACTAACTGCATCATACAGGTTCAGAGATCTTGAGTACTCTTGCCAACTCTATGCCTGTAATGCAGCCCACATTTCAATTCTATTTGTCCGTGCTTATTTTACTAACTAGGAGCTTTACCTGCTCTGATACGCAGAACTTAATAACCAACGGCAGCTGCGCTTACACATCAGGGAAATAGATCCTTCGGGTCTCAGTCTACTGCGCAAATGGGTTTGGAACCTGCAAGCTCCAAACCATGGAGAAAGAATTACTAACGCACCACCAGCGTAATTTCTGATATCTCTGTTTGATTGCCCTCAGCCCAGAATCACAGAATCACAGAATGTCCTGAGTTGGAAGGGGCCCACAAGGATCATCGATGCAACCAAAGCCAAGTGAGTTAAGCCCATGAAAACATGCTACCAATCTTCTCCAGTTCCAGTAGCTCGCTGCCTGTAGCAGAAGCACTAAGTACAAAATCTCATCATGTTGCCAGCTTGAGATACATTCTTCATTCCGGATACAAGGCTGACCAGCACAGGAACGAGGCTAGCACGGGTGGATTTGGGGTCATTAATTGTGACGGTATCATAAAACTGCAGATTACATTGAAAGAGCCCCCAGATAAGGGTCACATCTTTCAATGAAACGAAAAAAGCTGGAAAAAGGTTTCAACGAAAGGAAAAAAAACACAAAAGCAGCCTTACAAAGAAGTTTAACACCATATGCCCGAGTCACACACTTACTATCCACCAAACGCTTGTTTCTGGAATGTATACATAAGAGAAAGTAATAGTATTTCACGTACGTTTCAGCACTCTTTGCTGAAAGAAGTGGTATCTTTCGCTACAGCTAACCTTCTTTTCTGTCTTCTACAGCTAACGAAAGAAAATTTGTGATGCGAGAACTGTTGCTGTTCCAGACCTCTATCGCTCACAAGCCTGGGTGGCAGAAGACCTGGTTCACCTGCAAAGGGAGTCTCTCGCCATTTGCAAAGGAGTTTGAGGAAGCGCCTAACAATCTGGAATTTGCCAAAGCTTTTCAGCCTTGCCTCCTGCAACCCCCTCCCTATGCCCCCCAAATCAAAAGCACCAAAGACATTAAAAACAGGGCCAGGAGGCTATTTTGGAAACAGGAGACCTACAAGAGATACAAATATATTTGAGAAAATAGGTTTCAACAGAGGATAGTCAGTATTTCTCGGAGAAGGAGACAGGTTTTTTCTAATACCCAAGAATGTTTCTTTAAGTGGATTTTTCATACCCTAGCACAGCGGAGAAGAGATGTTCTTGATTTTGCAAAGAAAAAAGCACGTTTTAGCATAATTCATGGTCCTTCTGCCTCATCCTCCAACATTTATTAATCCTTGGAAGATTAAAAAAGCGGAATTAGCAGAGAATTCCCTGGATGCAGTTAAGAAAAGTTATGAGGCAAATACTGAGACTATTTCCTTCATGGCGGTTTGCGGAATGAACACAGAAATTTGCCCTGGTTAACAGTACACTCTATTTCTGTTCATACCAAGAGTTTCTATTGCGCTGGAAAGCACGGCACAGTCACAAAACAGAGAGGTTCTGCAAACCATTATTAGTTTATTTTATTGGATTATATATGAAAACACAGATATTCCCTTCTGCCACCAAGCCTTTTTTTGGCAAACTCACAAGAGATCTAGCCTAACAAAAGAGTGATACAAACCAGAGCAGACAGGCAGTAGTGTGTTTTACTGATTAGCTCCCTTAACGGTTTTTCAACTGTCCCCCGGCTCAGACATCTCTTGATGTTTTATTTATGCTACTGAATATGCAGATATTTAACACCCAGCAGTATTTAGCTCAGCTCTTCCTGCATCTATGTCTTTATTTACCAGAAGAGAGCAGCAGCAGAGAATACTCACGGCTTTTGCGAAGACCCCCATAAGCTCTGGGAACTGATGTGTCAGGAGGGCTAGCATGGCTGTGAAAGAACATAGTCCAGCAGTGAAGAGGATGAAGAAGGGAAGCTCTTTCTTGGGGTAAACTGAAACTTCATGAAATGCTGTAGAAAAAAAGATGGGAAGGGGAATGCATTGTAAGTTAAAAAAAAAAACAAACCCACAACACAAACCCCAAACAAAACGAAACCAACATTCTTACATGGTTTAAACAGCCAGAGACACCCAAAGAAACTGTTGAAGGAAAAAATACAGAGAAGGTCTGAAACATCTAAGGCCAACATTATTGTTGTGTCAGTCATCTCACTGCCAAATAATTCTCATCTAAAGATCGTATTTCTGGCTTACTCCAGTCCTATGCACATGTTACTTTTGCTTTCCTTGTGTCAGCACTAACTATAACGCAGCTGTGCAACAACTAACCCCCAAAAACTAACCTACAAATAAAACATCCAGGTTTCTAAGGCAGGTCATTGACTAGGCACATGGCTGCATGTTTGCCAATGCCGATAAACAGAGAGCGCAGAAACACGCACCTGGGAGCGGCAGCGAGACCAGCCTCGCAGGAGCATGGCTATAGATCGGTTCACGCAGGCTTTAAAACTACAGCCTTTGTAACAGTAAATTCTGAGGGTTTAAGCTGCGGAACCAAGAAAAGTTATCCTAAAAGTTATCCTAGAAGTAGGACACATAAACACGTACTCTAAATTCAGATTTTCAGAATTCTCTGTATACTTATACCAATACAACATTTTTTTAAAGTGTTAAAACCTGGAATTTAAATTAATACTGAATTGTTAAGGTGTTTGTCAGTGTACACTGAAAGGAACACAGAAATTTCCTCGACTCCGTTATGAAAAAAATCGCTCACTGGGCTTTGGAGAAAGCAGCACTGAGAAGGCTAAAAGGGTCAGAAGAGGATAATGAGTGTTTTACTGGAAGAATATATCCCTTAAACTTTTATGGTGGCTCATACTGAAGGTGAAAATTTGGCTGGGTTGGCAAAAGGTCTGGCAGACTCTCATTCAGTCCATCGTTTGGAGCTACAGTCACGATAAATGCAAACTTTGAAACATTTTTTTCTCATATAGGACCAACCTCAAGGCTTCCCATATACTCAAGTGCTATGACTATTCATACCCACAAAACATTACTCTTTGACTTTCCTACTTTCTCTGCTTCAGTGACCAGCTCTCACCTCATCGTACTTGCAGACAACATAAGCACAGGGCAATCCAGCAACATGGCAGGGCAATATTCTTGACTGCATTCATCCAGAGTGGAGGGGTGTCGCAAACCAACAGCATTTTTTTTTTAAATTAAAATATTATAAACTAAAAATATGTATGATTTTAGGGTCTGCTAATTTGATCAGTTTAAAAAGAAAAACACAGATAATTTGCAACTTCTCTTTGATTTAAATTAAATGTAGAGATTGGGAAATACGAGATCATGGACTTTGCAAGTCTAAGATTTCTTGTGTTCAGTTTTTTGCACTTGTTTTGACACAAGCTCAAACTTGTTGTTCTGCTCTGTCACGGCAAAAGTTTTGTGATCGGCATTTTTAATTCGGATAGCCTATCAGACCTTAGTGTTCTGATATCGTTCCAGCTGACTCTCCTTTAAAACACATGCAATTAAAGGGTGTGGACAGGTATGCAAAACCCCTTGAACCGACCTGTGTCTGTCACGGTATGTTAAACCCTTCCCTACTCAAACCCAAGAGATTTTGCAGTGAAAGGCATTTTCCATAACTGCCAGAGCAGAACACGACTGTCTGCATATGCTGTTAAAGAGTCCCTCGCTTCTGACATTTGACAAGAATGATTAGTTTTGCATCTAAAAAGAGAACGCTGAGCTATTCTGCATGACTTTGTCATTCCTAAATCTCCTGGCACTCCACCCTCCCCAGCTCAGCATCCCTCTGAGTAAAGCAGAGCGCTCTAAGAGGTGTTGTTATAATTAGGGTGATTATAACAGGGTGGGGAGATACTGTCAGTTGCCAAGGATTTCTGTGTAATATCAGCGAGAATGTACTGTGAAGGAGAGACTCACAATGCGTGGATTTTTGCTGTATTATTCTCACCTAATGTTTACTCACATAGGCTCATAAAAAGCGGCAACACTTTTTTCTGCCCAAACCAGAGAGGCTCTAAATGAAAGACTGTATACAAAGAGTGCAAATGCCCTCAAAACCAGCCTTCACAGCAGAAGGAGGCTACATTTTACTTTTTCCAGAACAGATTTCTCTTTATTTCTTCTTCAGGACAGAGAAGGTGAGAGAAGAATCTCCTTCCTTGCATCAGCTTGTATTTGCCTCCTCTGCCCTGACCCTGCAAACCCCTCTGCACTTGCCCGTGTTCCACTTGGGCTCAAACAAAGTCCCACTGTGAGAAAACACGTGGGAATGAAGCTAACTGTTTGCAAGATTGGCTGCTTCAGCTATCTTACTCTGCATTCTTGCGTTTCACTGCATGGGCTGCACTAAGTCTCATTACCTTGGACTGTAACGCTTCTTGAGGGCTGGGTCTGTCTTTGTATCTGTATCTCGCAGAGCACCGGGAACAGCGTTGGCACTTTGCTAATACATGCCATAAACACCTACAGTAAATGACTGAGCTAATTTCACATCATTGTCTACATAATAGCACACACACCATTACATGAAGAAAACCCGTTCTTGCTATTTAAGACTGCTTTTCAGAAAAAGCCAGCGTAACCTGTCAGAATAACTGCTGCGTTAATGATCCAGCTGTCCTCCAGCAGGTTTGATCTTGCCTTGGAATTTAAGCAGCGAATATGTCTACAAAAGATTAACAAGGCTGCGCTACTGTGCTTTTGGTTTGACGGGATGTTACCTGTGATGAAAGATCAGACATATTTTCCAGCGTCGAGAACAGCAAGATCTAACTGAGTCATAGCTCTTCAGTAATCTCTCTCCCTGTCCCTACGCTGTCGACAACAATAAAGATAGCTAATTGTTATGAACTATGGCTAGGAGCTGCCTCTTAAACCATCACGGGAGCTCCAGAGACTCTCTGACAACCCGGTTATTCTAATCCAGCGTATTCAATTTAAAAGGCATCAATGGAGATCAGTGCTGCGAGACTTAGGTAAATGATTCTTTGATGTCAACGGTAAGAAAAGTTGAACTCACATGGTAGTAGTTCTCTATCTGCAGTTTCTGTACAAATAGGGTACGGGTAGAAAAGATGTCCTTTTTCCAGTGGGTAGGGGATCATTCTGAAAGCTGAAAAGAAAACAACACCGTGCACAAGTTACTGTGAGCGTGGCAGGCACTGGACATACTTAACTATAGTTACAATTTGGAAAAACAAACATAGGCTAAACATAACATTCATATTTGGTCGCAAACAGCATATAAATCGCTTCATGAACTGCCAAAAGATAAATCCACACTTAGCTTTTAATCCCGCAATCACTTATGTTTATTTTTGTTCTTGGGAGAAGGTATGAGCATAAAGCGAGACCACATTACAAGGACGTACATCAATGTTTGCACGATCAGAGCCCACTGGACTTACAATTCAATGGCCAAATTTACACGTTTTGTCTCAGGCTTTTAGGTTGCAGAATTTTTACATTTCAGGGGAAAGAAGTGCATCTGATATAACTGGTATAGCCTACAAAAATGACCAGCCAAGCTTGTGACTTCAGGCCAATACTTGCAACCTCTGTGCATCAAACATGACAGAAGTTCTGCATGAAAAAAAGTACACTACTTTTTCCCCATCACACTCTAGCAAACCAGGTAACACTGATGACTCAAGCCCAGAGAACCAGTTTTCCAACACAGTCATGTTTTCATTTTATATTTGGCAATCAAATATTATTAATACTGAATTATTAAAACCAGGTTGCTCACATGCATTCTTTTTAAATGCAGCAGATCAAGTCAGGTTTCCAATATAAATCTTCAGGTCATGGATTAAATAATACTTAATCTTATGCATTTTTAAAATTGAAAATAATAACAGAGAGGGAGGGAAATGGATGAATAAATCTGGATGGCGATGATGTCATAGGCCATCTGAGCGTGGTTTACGGAAACGTAAGAATACTTGATTGAATTATAGCTTTGCAATCAAGGCATCCTTTTCCATTATCCTATATATTATTCTCACTGTTAAAATGTCATCAACGTGTTATTCTCACTACTCCTATGAACATAAGTCACTGAAGCAATATTTTCCTCAACAGATGTCCTAGAAGCCCTCTCTATTTCGGATGTTAAGTACAGCCCACCACCACGCGATAACACTCCATTATCTCTTGCTCGCAAGGCAACTGAGGAATTGCTTTAAAATACACAACACCCCAATATTTTCAGCTATGCACACTGCATTTGAAATAATGTTAGCTGTACTTTTTGTGCAATTACGTGAGTGTGTTTATTCTCGATTACTATGTTTAAAGCAATAGTAAAGGAGGCAGAAATCCTCAAAGACTGTAAACCAACCTGGGCCGTAACGCTCTTCCAATATTAAATCCCCCCTCGCCATAGCACCCCAAAAAGCCAAGTACAAACACAATAATCCAAGCCTTGTATGATCTTCACATGTAACAAACTTGAGTGCCTGGACAAAAACATATGTGGAGGGATGTTCGATGCTCATTACTTCAAAATCACTAACACAAGTTTTTCCTTCCGATTTGGCTTAATATTTAAACAGATGATCAAGCCTCTTCTGCCTTCCTCTAAATCTCAGTAGTATTAAGATTCTAATAAAAACAAAAAGGGATAGTAAAGATGTTGCTTTTACAAACCAAGTGGAAAACATCTGAATAGATTTTGCTGAATTTAAAGTCAGCTTTGACATGAGACCAAATATGGCCTATTCACAGCAGAACCATTTCTTTAGTAATGTTATCGGCCATGGAGGAAAGTGCTCTGGTTCATCTCCATCAGTTTGTGTTTAGGTAGGTACTTCTCTGCCTTACTCTTACAGTATTATCTGGTCCTGTTTTACATTCCTCGAGTCAGGTAGCACAGAGGCAGTCTGCCATTCAGCCCGGTGCTTGCCATAAGAGCCGCCGTAGCATTTGAGAACCCCTAGGTTTTTCTTCTTCGTGCAAACACTAGGAAACAGGACACAAGCTCAGAAACCGATGGTGACAAACAAGCGCCTCAGACTCTTTTGAAATTCGGTTACACTTGAAAATACAGACCTTCTGCACAGAGCATGTGGATCAAACCCAGAGCAATATTTCACATGGTGTCACCTGGGCTTTTTTCAGTTGTGCTATGAATAAAACCGTATTTTGACTGATCGAATGAAGGCAGAGCAGGAAACAACCAACATTCCAGTTGGATGATGATAATATTCTTATATAACCTCACTTTTCTAAATTATTGAATGCAATTTGGGAAAAAAAAAACCCCAAACGGTGAGAATTTCAGAGTTTAAAATATCACAAAGACATTTCTGCATAAATTTCGTTAGAGGCTGTCTTAATTAGGAGTGACCTTATTCTCCTCAGAAGCATTCAAAGTGTCCCCCCTCAAGTGAGTGATTTTATGTACTTAATTCTGCCCAATTCCCACAAGGTCAGAACCGAATGGTGTACATAACGTGGGCAGTAATTCCTACACACAAACTACTAAAGTGAGACTTGTGGGTGTTTAAGCACATTGACAGAATAGTACGCTTTAAAGACATGGCAAGTACAGAGCTACCTAGAAAGAAAGTGAGGGCAACCGACCATGTACTGTACGTAGACTGGTGGTTAGAACTAGTATCTAATTAAATGTAATTTCTCTGTCATGTTTCCACTGGTTTTAACTTATAATTGCACAGAGATGTCAAGGAAACCTTTTGCAAGTAAAGGACGTAAGAGTGACATAAATAGTTCACTACATCCGTAAAGAATATTACCCAGAGTGAGGTATGGACCAAAAGTTATGATTATCGGACTAGATACTGGTGAAACTATTAAAACCCATGGGAGTCTTTATGCATGAGTAAAATCTGAACAAAATTCTGGAGGACTGGTGCACTGCTTACCTCTCTCTGAAATCACTCTGCAAAATGACTTATGGATTTTTCTTTAACAACACGACTCATTTACATCTTTACAGGCTCCTACACAAATATTAGCTAATAAAGTACATATTCCGATTGCTGTGGAGGTAATCGGGAGAGGAACCGGTTAATGCAGTTAGATGGGACAGGGAAGCCACTGGGAAGGAAGATGTGACAGAGAAAATAATAGACTGGGAGAAATGACAGGAAAGGAGCAAGCAGGCAGGACACAAAACAATGTGGCAGAGCAAACCCCAGGGAGCAATGGTATGGATTACTGAGCAAGGTGCTCTATGCACCTAGAAATAAAGCCCATCAGGGAGCCTACACTGCAAATTAGGCAAGTTCTGGCCATTTCATAAAAAAGAGGAACTAGATTACATCAAGAAAAACCTGCGTTAAAAAAAGCGCACAAAGGCTGATTATAACAGTCCTTTTTAATTCTCTGAAACCTGAAAAAACCCACATCTCAAAGACAGGATAAGACAGGTCAGAAGGTTAGTATATGACTTTTGGAGGTCATATACTCCAACCTCCTACTCAAAGCAGGGTCACCTTCAAAGTTAGGTCTGGTTGCTCAGAGCCATGTCCAGCCGAGCTCTGAGTATCTCTAGGGATGGAGATCTCACAACTTATCAGCAACCTGTTCCAATGCATCACTACCCTCATTCTGAAAACATTTTTCTTATATCTAGATGAAATCTCTTGTTTCAACTTGTGTGTATTGCCTCTTGTCTTTCCACTGTGCCATTCTGTGAAGACTCTGACTCTGTCTTCCGTATCATCTCTCCGTTGGGTTGTGGAAGACAGCAACTGGATCCCCCCTTCACCTACCAGCAGTCTTTTCCAAGTTGAATAAAACCAGCACCCTCACTGTCTTTTCCTACATCACATGTTCCAGTCCCCTTTGCATCCCAGTAACCCCCCACTGGAATCACTTAAGTTTGTCAATTTAAAAAAAAAAAAGTCATAAAATACTGTATCGTTTTATACTACACATTAATATTCATCTGCCTAAATGGCACCTGCATAATTTCCCAATATCAAAGCATTCAGAGAACCATAGAATGGTTTGGTTGGAAGGGACCTTAAAGCCCACCCAGTTCCAACCCCCCTGCCATGGGCAGGGACACCTCCCACCAGACCAGGTTGCTCACAGCCCCATCCAACCTGGCCTTGAACACTCCCAGGGATGGGGCAGCCACAGCTTCTCTGGGCAACCTCTGCCACTGCCTCACCACCCTCACCGGCAAGAATTTCTTCCTTATATCCATTCTAAATCTACCCTCTTTCAGTTTGAAACTGTTCATTGAAATAACGACAAACAAATCTCTACAACTCTGGAATGAGGAAGGTAAATTATTATCCCCCTATCCATGAGTAAGAAAATATGTCTCAAAGAAGATGGGAAATCTTGTTCAGTATTACACAGACAACACAATCCAAGATTTCAGAACCCTTTTTCTCATTAAATGATGCTTGTGTTTTCAGTTTGAATTTCAAATATTCCAATGCTGGTGAGGATATACCTGACCTCCAAAATTCCCACATACTATACTTCACAAAATGCTATTACTTTCTCATGACATTCAATAAAAATATTTGATTAGCTCTTTTGTAATAAAGAGAATTACTTACTGCCTTCCCATGTACAGTGTAAGAGATTCAATGCCCCCTCTACTCTTTTCCAGTGTTGAAGATGAAAGAAAGCATATGCTATTGCTTCACTGTCCCCTCTCTTCAGAATATGTTCAGGGGGCAGAATTAAGCTTTTCATTTCTAGTAGATACTGCAATAAAAAAAGCAGAGCAAATTATTTCAGAGGTAATAAAGACCACAAAAAGCTGCCTGCAATTCTACAATGCACACTGAAAGGTCTATTTCCCTAAAGTACTTTCCCTCATAAGTGTTTCATCAAATGTGTAACATCACCAACTGCACTTGAAGATAATCATTGAATTATTCCCAAAAACTAAGATATGCTGACAGATGGTTAATGTTCTGCTCTTCAGCTGTAGTAGGGGGACTACAGAGAATTTCAAAATGAGATGCCTCTCTTATCAGAGGAGATGGAAAAAAGGGCTCAAAGCAGAAAAGAGAATCTAGTTACAAGAGCTTTTTAATTAAAAGTGTTTATAATAAAATGAAGAAGACATTAAGCACTCTGATGGACATAGTCTTTCTATAAGGAAACATGCCGTACTCATAGTTTGCACGCAGGTTGCTTTCCTGCATTGCCATCAACTGGTTGCTGGGTCTACGAATACGCAAGGTTGGCAGCCAGCTAAGTAGATATCAACAAGGTACAAAGTAAAAAAAAAGTTACAAAATGTAACAAATACCTGATTTACAGAAAAAAAAAACCAAATTGGATTTTTAAGCTCGCTACTTGAAATAGTTATTGAAAATGGTATAAAAATGGAAAGCACCGCTGACTAAACCCACGAGCAATCTTCCCCATCGCTGGATCTCCCATAGCAGAAGCGGATGAAGCACACGGAGGGTTCATGCCACAGGAGAAGAGAGAGGTCCCGGACATTATTCAAGCAGGTGATTTTTCCTCTTTTCCCAGCCCATGAACTAGAGCGCTACCAGTTCAGCAGACATTATCTCATCACCGGTGTTACTACGTTCCAGTTAGTGGAGGGGAAAGATACACCCCTCGTTGGCATGCTTTACAGAGAAAGGAATGACAGACAGACATCACAGGCTGCCAATCAACTCCTGGTTGTCAGTTCTCCTCCAAGAAGTGTAACACTTCCCAGCTGTGTGCTGACTGCTCTTCGATAGCATAGGGAAACCGTCGCTCTCTTCCAGGATGCCCAAGAGCAAATGTTCTCCCCACCAGACCATTTAAGTTAACCCAAAAGGCAGCCGGTGAGTCGGGCAGTAGACCGACAGGCCCTACCAGAAGGTTTGGCAAGAGAAGTTACGGTTAATCATTGGCCTCTTAAACGTCGGCTTTTGGCAATGTGATGAGCTGGTGCAGAAAAGAGGAGAAAAGAGGGTAAAAGAAAGAAATTGAAAATCAGCCTTGGGGAAAGGAAGAGGAAAGGCCAGAGGGAAATGACAAACACTATGACGTCGTGGAGGGCATCCCTGAGCCAGTCACTCCTTCACCTGAAGGAGCCGGGAAGCAGCTAGCAAAGAGACCGTCATCAAAGCAGAGAACTGTCAACCCTGGGAAACATAAATACTTTAAAGAGGAAGGAGAAATCATGCACGTTTCTGATGCAGGTAACAGTTATTAAAGGTGGAGAAACTGAATTAGCAGTGGGAGTGATAAGTGTGATACTTGGATTTTCCCTTTCAGAGAAAACAGAGAGCTGCAGAGCAGGGGGGCTAGTAGGCAGGACAGGGATTAAGAGTGACAGAGAGGACAGAATGAAGAGCTGACAAGAGGGAGGGAGCTGCCAGGCTTACACAGATACATCAAACATTCTTATTCGCTGTCCTACTGAATGCGCCACCCTTTTAAAAACACGCATTGTACCTGCTGAGCAGATTGGAATACAGCTGCAAGAGCTGCAGGTTTCTATCTGTTTTATTAATGCAGAACATCACTCTTATTCCCATACTTTTTACAAAAGTAAATGAGAAAGTAAGTTCTCAGTATTTCAATCAAAGGGAAAAAAAAAAAAACTAAACCCAAAGCCATGTCACTATTTGTAGGTAAAGAAAAAACAGGAAGGAATGTCCTACTTCTAGGAGTGCTGAGATGAAAACATGTTATTTTGATTCTTACGTATTACTTGTGATCAGCGATTAAAACCAAATCAAGTGGAAATAGCAGATGGAAGGATATACCTTGACACTTGCAAGTCATTCTTAGTCCTCACTCAGTTGTGTTGACTTCTCAGTCTGCATTCTTCTCAGTTTCAGAAAGAAAAACCTATCTATAAAAGTTCCTCAGATCAAAAATGTGCAACACTCCTCCCTGATCACTCTATCACAGCTACTTTCCCAAACAAAAAGTCCATAATCTGGTTTGGTGATATTCAAGAAGACCCACAGACAAAGCTGATGGATGGCTCCTAGCAGTTTCTGGTTTACGCACAAAGGTCAGCCACACCTTCTGGGGATACAAGCTGTCAGTGAATTTATTCTGGAGGCATTTCCATTGCTAATTGTACGCAGCCCCAGAGAGACCTTGTCTGGAACGCTCCGTACGGTTCTCAGCAGGCACTTGCAGAAATGTAAAGATCAAATTCTACAAGCACAGAATAGAGCTAATCAAAAAAATGGCAAGTCTGCTTTGTGAGAGGGCACTCGAAGGCCTCCATCTGTTTGACTTCTCTAAACAGGACCAACAGGTACCAAAAAGGTACCTGGCTGTAGGTAGGGCTCGATTATTATGGAAGGAGAGATACGACTGCCCATGAAAATTAGATGGTCCTGATGTCCTAGAATATCAGATCTATTTGTGCCTTGCTGTATTTTCAAGGAGAGTCCAAGGAGGGCACTCAGATTCTTGGAGGTTTCACTGACAGGGCTCAGGGTCTGCTTGGAGATAGGAAAGCCGAGGGCAGCCCCCTTTCACAGTAACTGCAGGCTCCTGGCACCCAGGTACTTCACAGGCAGGAGCCAGCCCCAGCAACCTGTTGGGTTTCTAGCAGTTGTCCACGAAATGAACACGGTCCCCCTGAAACTTTTTGGTTTGGACAAGTAGACAAATTCCAGCAAAACAAAATTAAATGAAAAAAAAATCTTTCTTCAAAAACCACCCAATAAGCTGCAGTCCTCATGCTGCCCATATAACGTGTGAATCACAGTCCTGATGGACTCCGGCACGCAGCAAGTATATCCAGCTCTTGGAAAAAATCAGCCAGAGCCATCTGATTGTAGTTTCCAAGAGGCTGCTATTGCACGTAATCAAAGATACGACACTCGACAGGTACAGCCTTGTCTTCAGCCACCAAAGACTTCAGGGTGGGAATCTGACTACTTATATCTCAACATCTCCAAAGGCCTCAGCCCAGAGCACAGCCCTTGCTGTTACAGGACTAATAGGGACACAAGATCCTACCGTACCACTAAAATTCGTACCAGTATGAACTCCTCCTGGCTTTACAAGAAAACAACCTACACCTCTTGACAGACTCCCTATTAACTGTAGCTCCTGAGACACTGCATCCTCTCAGATTCAACCACGACCTCTACAATTTAAGTAACAAAACCTCACTACCTTTTCAATCCTTTGAACACGCAGGGAAGAGAGGAGCCCTCTGTTATCCTGACAGGGCTCTGAACCCAAGCGTGGTTCCACTTCAGAGGGAGAGTCAAGTAACAGGCAAAGGAAGAACCTTAGCAGAGAGCTGGCTATCATGGAGGAAACGGAGATGGCAAGCCCAGCACATCTCCAACTGCCTCTGGTTTTCGATGACAAATGAAGAAGTTTAACTGGAACAGGAAACAGCATGTCACCACCACCTGGGGTTATCATGTTCCTTTAAAAAAGGAATCAGCTCAGAAAAGAGAGTTTAGAAAATTTCAGCCAGAATGACCTAGTCTTAATCAAGTTATGCGCAAATACTAAAGTTGCACAATGATTTCTGTCATCAGCAGATGGCTCAGTCAGCCCTTCTCCACTGCGTCGTTTTGGCCTGGATTTTTTTGGTTGTCTTTTCTGTTCTTCTGGTCTCTCTCTCCTCTCACCCCAACCTTTTTCCTGTCCAAACTCTGTATTTTAGGAGTTACAAGGGCAGCAGTGTATTTCATGTGCTTCTATAGAGGGCTTCTGGGCCAGTTACACGACATTGTAATAGATATCGCTCAGCTACAGCCACTCTGTACACCTACGGGAATATGCCTTTGAGCGAGCATTTGGAGGATGACAATGGACCGTGCAACACGGTGGAGTTTATATTTCTCTTCCTTGAATTGACTGACTATATATTATTTATTTTGTAATATCGACAGCACTCTGGCTACTAATTCTCTTCTTCTGGGAGTGCTTTTAACATTCCACATTAATGAGCTATTTCAGTGGCCTTTTATAAAATAAATCAACCTATCTCATGCAGGTTTCCTTCTTTTCCTCAATTGTGCAATTTGCCTCTGAAATTACAGCTCGGGCTGCAAATAGGCAATAGTCACTCCCGCACCTGTGAGAGCATCCCTCCAGGCCAGAATATGAGAATTTAACATTGTTTGAACAGGAACTCTCCTCCTCCCTGGGGGATGAACAGCACAAGCTTAAAACAGTCCCAAAATACTGGTTTCTACATGCCCAAAGAAGCCACTTTTAGGTCACCTTACAAGTTCTCATTGGATTGATGGTAATGAAGAAGTTTGGCCTTTTTGCTGGGTACACAAAACCAAATCACTGTCTCACTGAACAGTTAAAAACTCTCCTAAACATTTCTGGAATAGTTTCTCTGTAATATCACGGGGTGTGCAGAACAGATTCATTTCCCATCTGGTATACGAATTTGTTTGCATTATTTGTTTCTATTAGCAACTACAACTTACTATAAACCACACAAGCATACAGACAGACAGTTCTTATTAAAAAAATTTAAAGTAAGTCAGAAAGAAGTGAGAAGGGATAAAATGGAAAGCAGGTAAATCTTTAGAAGTGTTTAAGTCAACGGTTTGTTACATCCTTTTAAGAAACTGTTTACATGTAAAATTGGCATTTCCTAAAGTAACACAAATATTTAAGTTGTCCGATTCAAATGGAGCGAACATCAGTACTCTCTTTATATCAACTCAGCTCCTGGCTTACATAGCAAACCCATACAACTGTGTGCAGAGCACACTTTCGCCTCACTTTTAACAATTAGATATAGAGACCATCATCTATTTTCTCTTTCCTTTGAATTTACTGAATAGCTCATGTCTCACGGATCCCAGAAAAGAGGGGGGGCTTTTCAGGAGGAGTTTGAATGCAAGAAGGGAGCCTTGCAAATCAGTTCAGCAAGGGTGTTCCACAACTGAGGAACATCCCAGCAACAGCTGTGGTACTTCATCAGCATTAGCTTGGGATAGCTGCGCTACACACAAGTGGGGAAGCTCCAAACACAACATATAAATAATATTAATGAAATTGTGTGTGTGTGTATATACACACATACTTTTTTCCCACGCAGTCCACAAATTATGTACTCTCCATGACAGGATGTACTACTCTCCTTTCCATACAAAACCCTCTGGAATTACAGTGATGTACTACTCTCCTTCCCATACAAAACCCTCTGGAACTACAGTGATAGCCCAAGTGCTTCAGTGGCAATAAAAACCTTTTTGTTTAACTCTTAAATTTTTGAGCAGCACGTTGTCAGACAGTGTCAGCACAATTCCTTGGGACCAAAACTCCAGACTGCATGGCACTACACTAAAACAAAAGGATACTAGTTCATAGAATCTCATTTAAGACAAAGATGCTTGAAAAAAAATTCAGACAAATCTTCAGAAACAAGTGATATAATTTGTTGTGATTCTTCTCACAGCTCTTTGCTTTGTTCTCTTTCCTGCTATACCACTGACTTCAACCTGCTACCGGTTCTGTTTTTCTTCTGCTAAAAAGGACCCTGAAAACACTCTGCCTGGTGAAGTGTTTTCTTTTTACATAGGCAGTCTCTGCAATTTGCTGTAGCTGAGTTGTTTCAGGAACATAAACAAGTCAAACACTAGATAGATGTAATATCTTTTATCAGATATTTTTCTGGTACAGCTTAAAAAATTAAGCCACTTGCAAGCACAGAAACTTTTTTTACAGGTAAGATGTCTTCAGAATCAGACGTCTGGATCAGTTTGACAGTGGTTCCATTTTCGCTGCAGTCAAGAAGGAGATCACAGCTGACACACCTGAGCTGGTCTTACCCTGCACAGCTCAGCGCCCAGAAAAAGCACAGCCAGGTCAGCGGCCCAGCCTCCTGGTGAGATCCGGCAGGCTGCACTGAGCTCTGTATCGCCTTTCTTCACTTAAACCAAATTCTGGTACCTTCACGTGTCACATCTTGACTCCAGTGTATTCCAAAAATAATGAGAATTTATCACCTGTGGCTGAGACTTAATGGACTGATCTCTGGGAATTAAATTGTCATTGAAGTGTACTCAAAAATGGAAGAAGAGACGTGTGTCAAAAGAAGGTGATTTGCTGGAAGGGTGGCTGCCTGAAGAAAGACTGTCAGCTGTAGTAGATCTCTCTAAAAGGCATTTTTGTACAGACAGAAGATAAAACCCAAGGTGATACGTAGTCATCTAGAATCGGTGAAAGTGAGTGCTAACATCTTCATGACATACATACCGAGAGGACTCCCAGAACCATGCATACACACTGGTTTCTCTGTGGAAGGCAGGTGGTTTTGCAGGGTTTCTCACCTTTAAGTAAAGATGGAAATCTGGGACTTTTAAACTGCTTCTTGTTAAGGCGTTTCTGCATCTTTACATTACACTCAAAAGAAAGTGTAAGAAGTACACCTGACCTCTGCAACACCACTATGGACCACTGGACTGCAATTTGGCCTTAATCTTCCACGGAAAAATGAGCAGCACTGGAAGAATCCCATGGTTGTTTTACGCAAACCTGCCACAGGTCACAACGGGAGACCCAGTCTCCCGTCCTTGCTAAATCCAGCTCAGCAGCATCTCTCAGTGTGTTCAGCGTGTTCCCTGCATTCCCTTTGTCTCAATGTCATTCGCAAAAATCCACTATTTCCAGTTAAATGTCTGGAAAATGCATATCCAGTAACACTCTTTTTATGTGACAATTTTAAATTTTAATGATTTGCACTGAAAATGGTAAAAACTCCTTTTGAGACAAACTAGAAATATATCAAACTTTTTTTTTCTTTTTCTTTAATAGTGCAATTCCCTGCTTTCAAGGCTTCTGCTGGGAACTTTGCAAATGCTTTAAATAATTTGTCACCTTTGTAATTTATGTCTTCCTCAGTCTGAACAAGAGACTCATTAGTGTTTAAATCCTAAAGAAGCTTTGAAGGCATATTAGCTTTGCGGCACTGTTAGATTTCTTGTGATGCTGCTTGCTAAAACTTATCTCCATTTCATTAAGAACAAATTGGATATGACTTCAATCATAATTGAGTGGAAACTGAGGTGTAATATCCATACCGTGCACAAAATCATAACCAAGAATATATTTTTGCCACCTTAATATCCTTTAGCTAATGGCAGAAAGAATGAGTGTGAAATCAGCAGTGCTGCCTATTAATCTACACTAGGCTACACCGTTTCAATGTTAAAATATGAACTAAAAAAATCCCTAGAGTCTGCTCCCGTTACTACCTTGTTATCCTGATAATTTATATGTTTCACAAAAGTTTTCAATTTCAAAATGACAGACTTTGAAAAACTGAGGGAATCAATTAACAATGTGAACTGACCAAAAAGCTCAGGAATTTAACTGAGGAAGAGGACTGGAATTTCTTTAAATCAGAAGTACCAAAATAACACCCAATCTGCATTTCACACATGTCAGAAAGGAGATTCGGCCTTGTATTGAACAGCCCCCTAAACAGAAGCTGGCTAGTGAGAAGGAGGTCACAAGTGATGAGTGAAAGTACTGATCTACAAGAAAAGCAGGATCTCGGAGATCTGGAAGTGCAGAGGTTACGGAGCAACTGCCGCAACTTACGGTAAGGTAGATTTTGCAAAGGAAGTCAAACCGAAGAAGAGCAAGCTCTTAAGTATAAACAGAAAAAGAATAAGCGAAAAGGTAGTAAAGGAAGACTTAGTCTCAGTTTCATGGCAGCGCAGGGCGAGGAGGCAATAGCAGGATGGACATCAGGAGAATGTGCAGAAGTGGAAGCCACTGCAGCCAGTGATCTCCGTCCATGAACAGTGAATGAACCGGTCCCAGAAACGGCCAGACTACCGCAACTGACTTAAAGCAAAAAGATCCCCGCCCAGCATCAGGTCATCCAGTGATGAGAGAAGTAAATGCAACGCCATTCATTTAAAGAGGAGGGGAAACAGTATGTGTTAATATGGAATCATTAGTATGCAAACTGTTAAAAAAATATTTTGATGGAAAGAATTACCAAAAGCATGGAGGTAAGGGAGGAAAATGGAACAGGCGCCCAAGGATTGCTCATGACAGGCTAAACGGGTATCTTCGCTCGGCAAGATATCTGAGTTTTTTAGGCAGCAAGGACAGAACACTCTAACCAGGCTTCAGTAAAACATTCAGAAAGGTTCACCCAGAACAGGACTGGAACGGAGAGTTAAACAGGCAACCAGGCAGAAGAGAAATATCAATGGTTGTGTTGGTGCAAGAACCATTGGGAGGGAAGAAAGTAAACAGAGTTCCACAGAAGCAGTCCTGGAACCAAACTTCATTTAATATGTTCGTTTTATAGCTTGGCACAAAAATAGAAGATCAGCTATTAATACAAAGGGACTCATCTCACCTAAATCTTGTTGTCTAAAAATCAGGCTTTTACTGGAAAATAGTTGCTCCTTTCATAGTCAGTGTAGAAACAGGCACCTCGGAGGGAAAGTCTGTCTAGAGATGTCTAAGATAGATCCTTCTTTCCACTGCCTGTAGAGGAAGTCTAGATGATTTTATTAAACAAACAGCCTAACTTTCAGATAGCTAAACCATGCTATTAGCGGTTGGCATAACAGATATAGGTCACAGAGAAAATATTTAATTCCTGCAATGCACAAGAATTAACTTTCTGCAATCCATGCGTACATAGGGGAGAGGTTTTGGGTTTATCTTGACCAGACTCAGTGTTCAGCTGTACCTAGCGAATAGGCTCCCTACATTAACACGCACTAGTCTTCTGCTCGCCCGTGGAGGCTGCTTCCTTTCAAAGGGCAATACTGGTCCAAAGGTTTGTGGGGTGAAGTTCAGAGGCAGATCTCCAAGGGCCAAAAAGCATCTGCCTCTAGTTTGCCTTTACAATGAACTTTGAGACTGCAATACTGAGTATCAGGTGATGAAATAATAACATGCATTAGCTTTTAGTAGCCCCTGGGCAAGATTCTTACTGCTGAGATACATATCTAGAGTAGGGCTTAGGGAATTAGAACATAAATCCCTTTTCTTGCTTTGTAGTTCTCAGCAATTCTTCATCTCTGAGCTTTGCATTCTCAGAACTTAATGACAGGGTGCTACATAAGGAATTACTAATGCAACTTATATGAAGCACACCATCAACTCCACACATAGGTTCCTTTGTATAGCATGCCAAAAACATATTCTTACATGTAATCATCAAAAGAAGTAAAACACGTTATTTTGAACTAGAAGATCTTTAAAGACTATTTTGTAAATAATAATCTGTCTTTATGTACGGTTCTGTCCTGCAGCGTAGCATTTGGTGGTGTCTGCTACCGCAATCCACCGTGTAATTGTTGCTCACGTAGAGGACTCACTTCAGCTAAAATTTCAAGTTGCACGGTCCAGAGTAGAAGATACTGAATGTGAAATCCCAAACTAAAAAACTGCATACTATCAGCTTCTTTCCCTTCCGATTGTTTGCTCCCCTTTCCGCCACATCACTCGTTTATCTAACACAGAAATCAGGACTTAGGTCCTCAGCAGCGTTAAAGCTACAACAATGCTTTCTCCGTACTTACTTTTGGCACATGTGGATTAAATTCTACCGCTCTGTGAATAGCTTCTACTGCATTCATCTCTGCAGTACTCAGCCCTCGCCTTGAGGCAGCCTCTGGAGAAAATCTACAAAAGCAAAGAAACAAACACATTAGGTCAGAAATGCTAGCAAGAAAAAGCCAGAAAAGGAATCTAGAACATGGGCCCGTGTAACCAAACTGAGTCAATTTCCTGTGCTCTCCAAACTTCCATAGCAAGTGGAAACTCTGAGTGATCTGTTACATCAAGGCCCATGAAAATCCCAGCAGAAGTGGAAAGCATGTTTGCATCTAATCATGGCAGAAAGTTGGTTCAAACAGTCCTTTCTCTGTCACTAATCTAATTTTGCTCTAGGTGCCTTGCTACGGGGCATATCCAAGGCTGAAATTGCAGAAAAAAGAAAAGCAAAAAAAACCCCAACACCAATGCCAAATTATTGTTGGAGGGTTTCTATTAAAAACAGGTTTGGGGAGGTTTTAGGGAGATTCCCAACCCAATGCCCCTGGGTCAGGTTGGGACGGAAGCACGATGCAGCAGCAGTAGCGGGTGGTCTACTGGCCGCAGCACCATTGAGGGTAGCATGCCCAAACTGTGGGCAAATCATCTGCCCCAGTGAATGAAAAACCAGACCATGCAATCTCTTTCTCACCTCACACCCCACGGCTAACTCCAGAGCTGTACTTGGCAGGCAGACACCACAGGGAAAGCTGTGACAACCTTAGCCCTGCCCTCCCAAGCTGGAGTCGCTGTGTAGGGAGGAAAGATGTTGCAGTAGGTACTGGCGATCTACAGGATAAAAAGAATGAAAGAAAATTACTTAGATCTTGATGTGTACATACACTTTAAAAGCAAAAACTGTCAGGATGTCAGTCAAGAAAATGGCTTTCCACTCTACTTGCTTTCCAACTTTAGGGAGGCATTCGGCCCTCAGGTGCACAGACACAACTCTGCCTGGGATTTGTGTGAAGGCATCTGAGAGCAGAATCGGGATTTTTGAGCTCCATCTCACAAGGAGCTGAGCACCCTTTCAGAGCGGGACAGTGCTCTCAGGTCCACAGGCATCAAGTAGATGTGCTCAGCACCTTGGAAGGTTGAGACCCAAGAGAAAACTGTAACAGGAATGAGCAGATATTTGTGTCTCTAAAAATATGAACGTCATCTACCTCTCAGAATCCCTGACATAGTAGTGCTAAATCCACCTGCCGCTATTTAAGTAGATGAGCAGTCTTCTGACAGCACTTGTAAAATGACATTGCTACCAGTGCATCCACATTTATTGATTACCTTTTTGTGGTCAAGTTTATACAAAGTTGAAGAGGTTCAGCCACACAACACCTTTTAGTCGCATTTTCATTATACTATCTAGGAAGCCAAAGCTCACCCAGACAGTATACTTAAAACTGAAACAAGAATAGAATTTATACTCTTTCTCTTCTTTTCTTCTTCTGTAATATTTGAAGTGCAATGTTTGATCACTGCAAATTTTTCTTATATAGAAAGTCATTTTATGACTTTACTGCAGGACTGAATTCTCCTGCTAACCCAGCAGATTGTTAGGGTGTGGGCTCAGCTAAGAGAAATCTCGAGTTAAATCAGGAATTTTGCTGGACAGTGGTTCTCATGCACTTACTTGTCAGAGACAGCTCTGGCTTTGAGCAATGCAGCTGTGTAACATATTGTTGCTGATTTTGGTAAGCTTATATCTGTTGAAAAGAAAGAAAAAAGTAAACATCTGAAAATTTAAAAGTCTGCAGAAAGAAAAGTGTTTGATTGATACTTTGGCATATGCAAGGCATACGTAAAATTATTACGTGAATTCAGAATACTTTCGGATCTTGGGACTTGTACTCCCATCTCACATGGATTTTTAATTTCCACCCAATATACCGGCTTTAAAACCTGTGTTAATGACCACTGGAACTGCTATTTAAGCAGCAACTGGGTTCATCAGAGAACTAATTCAAAGACTGACATGACAGAGGCATAATGAAAGACTTCACTAGTTCATACATAAATGTACAGGTAACCTGGAATACATGAATTTTTCCATAGTTCACAAAACATCTTAGTAGTAGTTGAGGGCTATCTTATTCGCTCTTCTTGTTTTCACTGAGAAGCAGTTGTCTACGCTATGCGGTAGCTATACAATTTAAGACAACTATTTAAGTAATAATGGATTTGACTTCCAAGCAAACAACCGTTACATTTATTGCAGCTAAAGATCAACAGTAAAATAAGGTGTTTTGCCTCTTAAGGCAATCTTGGACCAAAATATTCACCAGACAATCTCTGGCCATTTTATGCTGTTGCAGAGACACACAGGAGCCACAAACCTGGCTTAACCCACTAGTTCAACTTAATTTATACCTGTTCTCTACCAGCAGATTGGCACAAAGCATCCAGAAGTTGAGTTATAGATTTGTTCCCACTGTTACACAGAAGAATTGACTTCCATACTAGTAATCTACCCAGCAGACATGCATTATATAGTGATGGAAATATTCCAGCATTAAAAAGTTAAAATGACTAAGCTAAACGAAAAAAAAGAAAAAAAAAGAACAACCCCCACTAAAGGCTGGATTCTGCAAACACTTCTGCACGCTGCAATATTACAGCTTCCTATGGTAAACAGCGAATACACAGCGTAGTAAACACAAGGCACTGGAGTAGGCCCACTGCAAAAGCGAAGAGCAGCTAATCTGACCATTGCTCTAAGAAACTACCTATGCCTCTGTTCGTCATTAAAGTTGATTAGAAAGATGAAATTACCATAGAGCTTGGTAACTTTAGGGTTAAGAGAAACTTGTGATTTACTGAACCCCAGTGCCTTGCGAGACAGGGCTCCAAAAAGGAGTTAAAGAGGACAAGCAAGTCATATCTCTGCCATCACCATCCTATTAACAACCAAGCTGAACGTCGTTCTGTTAGACAGAAAATGTTGCCAGAATGACTGAGGCACTTTGAAAATGCTACCTGTTAAATCCCCTCTATTGTCTTTTTACGCATTTGCACTTCAGGTATGAGATGGAAAGATCTTGTTGGAGGCTCCCCTATGATATATTCCAACTATAATTTCACTGGAGTATGTAACTGTAGTGACTACAGCAATTAAAATCAACATCTGGGTGATAGATATGTGAATTACTCCACTAATAGAACCTAGCTACAGACACAGACGTGAGCACACCTTCAGTGACAGAAGAAGGAAATATTTATAAGCACCTTCATAACCCTGCTTATACCAGGTTTTCCTTAACATCAGGAGTTAAAAGTTATTTCCAGTAAAGAGAAGCAACCTTTTTCAGAACATACTGGTCTCTGCCTTTCAGTATAAACCTTATTCATCAAACCATAAATGGAGTGAAAGGTAGAGGAACGGAAAAGAAAAAACCCAAGAAAACCAACAATGTGCTGTCATTTATAAGGTTTTCAACTGGTCAATAGAATACCTTATTTTCCCCTTACCTGCAAGTGTTTCTCTTGGCCATCAAGCCACCATTACCTCAAGGGGAATATTTTCCCCTGTCTCAGTTCAAACCTAGTACCATTGGTTCAGGATCTGACCTTTACAAAATTTTCCATTAATGACACAGAACAAGAGGTCTACCTAGGAGTCTCTGGAAAGACATTTTCCCAAGCAAAAGGCAAACTCCACATATTAAAAAAAAAAAAAAAGGACCAAGAAGAGAATGTTTGCATTGAATAATGCAGCAAGAGCACCACTTCACTTTTCTATCTGCTTGAAGGAGTTGAAAACTAGGAGGAATCAAGAGGTCTGGAGTACGTAACTGAGGTAGCAGAGGAAAAAGAGTTATGTCGATGAACAATGAAAGCTGCCTGCCTAATTTCAACGAAGAAGGCAGGTATGCCAGCAAAAGCCAGAATGACAGCAAGAAAATGTCAATTCAGCCATTAAAACACAATCCATGAGGTTAAACAATGAGACCACTCAACACACAAAACCCCTCTAATCACCTGTATAAAGGCTAGCTTCTGCATCAGATCGGTGACACTTGACTAGAGAACATTCAGTGGAAGTTACGCGGACCAAGTTGTCAGGATTATTACAATTCTTGGCTAAGAGATTAAGATATCGTATAGTAGGAACTGATCTTGATACAGGTTAAATATACTAAAACAAGACACTGTATCACAAAAGAATATCTTCTAGTAGACAGTAAGTGCTCCTGAGCTGGAAACATCCATGCATATAGATTGCAGGACGATCTACAATGAGCTGCTGGCATCTGTAAGGAAGGGAAACGTGGTGAGGCGAGGTAAGGCTCAGGTACTCCACCTGAGTCATTCCTGCACAAGAAATGGGATTTCTCAAGGAATGTTGTGCTGAAATCCGATCACCCATGGTCAAGAACAACAAAAGTAAACGAAAAGACTGGATTGTTTTTGTAACAATCCAAATGAAATAAAGTGTGAGAGAAGATACAACTGTTCTCTACGCACCCCCACAAAGAACACCAGGAAAGGAGAAGGGCTCCTTAGGTAAAGGATAATGGTGGCACAAGCATAAACAGTCTGGAATTAAATTTAGGCTGGAGATCAAAAGGTTTCCGAGAGGTGAATTTTTGAGGCAGATTTCCAGGTAGAAAAGTGAGACAAAACAGCTAATTCTAGGATGGAGTTTGCTCAGCTCATGGAAGGGGTAATATAACGTAGTGAATGCAACAGCGGGGGACCTGACTCACCCAGGAGGCCTCTTCCAGTACTATGCTCCTAATGAGCAAGCAGCAATTATTTAAGGATAATACCTACAGTCCCTTGGCAAGGGAAGAAATACATACAAATGTTCATGTTTATGTTGCTGTGGAGATAGCCCTCAGTAGGTCCATGCCTACTTCCCTCCAAAAATGTTTTGCTTTTTGTTTGCTCCATATTAGACTGTAAGTATTTGGTTCTGCTATATTCTGGTCTGATCACTACAATACTTTAAAATCTTCATGTAATTTAGGCTTCATCTCCAAAACTGGACCCTCGTATTTCAGAGAAAAGCATAGAACAATTATGTCTGGTTACAACTTGAATTTAGCAAGGGAATCAAATCTAAATTAGTCCTAGGAGATATGTCCTCCGTCAGGAACCAAAGTGAAGTTTTCCATAAATGACTGTGTCAGGCTCTGTGAGCCATCTGGCAAAATATCTTCACACACACTGTTTCCCACCCTCCTGTGATTACTTGTGGAGCTCCCACAATGTGCTGAAAGATGTGACTGCTATTCTGTTGTCAAATCCATCAGGACACTTTTGCCTAATAAGAACTGATGTGTCAATCTAAAAAAGGTTCTCCGTATTCCTTATTGCCTGTATCTTTAAACAGAATACAAAATAGTCTAGACTATTTATGAGCATTTTCTTTTGATTAGCCCCAGTCAGTTATGGGGAGGGCTGGGAAAGTGAATTCCTACTGGTCATTTGCTTCTTAAGCAGTTGCTTAGTGAGAGTGAACTAATGGAGAGATGCTATGGCTAGCAACTTGCAACCATAATATCACTACTTCTCTGAATCAAGATATCCAGAATATGCCATTTATCATCTAAATATGTCATGGGATCTATTGTTCTTACAAAACAGCAACTAAACCAAGAAATTATGAATCTGGATATGGACTGGTGCAACATCCCCTATCCAAGTCATCAGAAGGCCCTAAATGTGAAGAGACAGGCGTGCTGCAATTGCTTTAGTCATTAATACATGCAAAATCTAAGTCATTAACCAGAAATTATTCCCTATTTTGACCCCAAAGCGTATGCTATTCCCAAGTCAACAATGCAGATTTCTACGGGCTTAACTTCAGATAGGTAAATAGACTTATCAACATTAAGAGGACTTAAATATTCACTGAAATAAGCTGTAGATCTGGGGCCATTAATTTGCACAATAAGATCCTTCTAGTCAAACTGCTAGCTCTTCTTCATACAGCACTGGAGAGAGACTACATTAAGCTGCTGGAATCATTCACATATTTCCAAATATGTAACTGAAAGCATATCAGCAAACTGGAAGAAGTTAAGCAAAGAGGTAAACCAAAAAAGGGTGGAATACAGGACTTATATTGTGCTGTGGCTCAGGGGTGAAGCCTAGCTCGGATTTTCTCTCCCTCAGTCTGTCTGTAGACTCCAGTGTTTAAGTGATAGGCCAACACTTGCCGTGTCTGCACAGAACTCCCCCAGCTCTTGGCACCTGCAGGCTACAGCGTCAGCTCTTGCACAGGTGGTAGGAAGAACTGCTCCTGGGAAGGACTGAAAGTGCTCTAGCAAATAAATATGTGCAGGCTCGATCAGTGATGACAGAAGAGAGGCACAGTCATTTACAAAGACACAAACATTAAGGAAGAAAGTGAATTAAGCTGATATAAATGGTTAAAAGCAAGAGTAATGGGGTGGAATTCAATAAAGGAAAGTATGAACTGAACATCAGGGGAAAAACACTTTGTCAAAAAGATCTAATATCCTGTAGTATTATCTCCCATGAGAATAGTCATTGCATTTTTCCACAAAACGTGGTAGAAAACACGCTGGAGGGAGCAAAACTACGAACACAATGATCTAGCGCTTACTTTATGCTTGCAAAATATAGCAGTTCTGATTCTCTGTACTTTTGATATTCTTCCTCAGTGGTGGGAAACACCCCAATCAAACACAAACACATAGCCACTGTGTATGTTAAGGCCTGGATTTTGGTCCCCTGG